CTCTCTCTCTCTCTCTCACACACACACACACACACACACACACACACACACCCCACTTGCTCCTTGATATGTACATGTGCATTTGCATTGCAATCCAGACGGTGTTAGAAACAACAGAGGCTAGTCTCAACATAGGCTGGTCACTAGAGCTATGGCAGTTCCATGAAGGAGATGCTGCACAAGCAAGGGAAGGGAAGGGAAGGGAAGGGAAGGGAAGGGAAGGGAAGGGAAGGGCAGTTCTGGGGCAAATCTATGACTGGCTGCAAAGACTTCATGTCCTGTCCTTTGCTGGCAATCTAAGATGCATGGCTCTGTGTAAGTTGGTGAACGAATCCCCTCTCCCTTTGCCTGAGAAGGTAGATACATGGCCCATTTGCCTGGTGCGTTTTATTGTTGAAACAGCAGGTATGACCCCGACCCATATGTGGGTGGGAGACCTTCAAGGAACCCCGGCAAGCTCTTAAGAACTAAGGAAATGCAAGACAGTGTAAAGCTTTGAGAAAGGGGGAAGGTTAGGGAATACCACTGTAGCGCTTGTGAGCTGCGAAATGGAAAAAAAACTCTAGTTCCACTGCTGTAGCAGCCACAAGGTAGTCGTGAGGAATCAAGCTTTTCCTCCCTGCCCTGGCCCACCTGTCTGCAAGGTGGAAATGACACTGCTCCATCTTATGCTACTGTTTTGAGGATCACTGAAGTGGTATACTGATGTGCTCTGAACACTTTAAAGTTTACACACACACACTATAAACTGTATATACACATGCATACATACTATTACTGTGCGCACCAGACCATGGAGATTTTCCCAACCCAGGAGAAGGGTAAGGGCTCCTGAAAGTTGCAGCTGGCCACTCTGCCATAATAAGTCCTTGCCATTCCACTTCCCTTAGTCAGCAAGAGAGATTCACTTGGTTTGCATGTGACTCTTGCATCACTGACTAAGCGCTGAAGGAACTTGTTGTTTGACAGTCTATTGATCCACACAGTGCTATAGCCCACCACGGGTTAATGTTGTGCCCCATTTTTGCAGGATGCCAAGCTTACCTTGGGTTTTCGTATCATGAGAACTGAGGTGGCAGGGATTGCTTGAGGGCTAGGCAACCCTCAGGTAGTTTTAACCCTCAAACAACCCCTGCCTCCTAAGTTCACATGACTCAACAGCCACAGCAGACTGAATTGCCATGCATAATTAGGGCTCATGGATGCCCCCTTCCCCTCACAATCCAACAGCTTTCATGATCAAATTAAGTGGTAAAAACCAGATCAGCATTTCTACTGTGTTCTGTAACGATTGCTAATTGGAGCAATCAACTCACAATTTTTTTAATATTAGAAATACATAGTTCTTCAGCCACTGTGCCCATAGGTAGTATTTGATGATGAACATCATTTGTTTGTTTCTTTCTGAGGTAATGCATGAGATTGAAGGCTATTCAGGGTTTTGGACAAGTCACACCTGTCCAGTTACTTACCTGGATAATGCGTCCTATTCTAGGAAATATTTGGCAACAGCATTGAAAGAGAAAATAGCTGATTAGTATAGAAAAAATATTTCTGTGAGGGTAGGGGGCCTGATCTTACTCTTACAACTTAGGCCTGTGCATGTTTACTCAGAAATAAGTCCTGCTGAGTGGGGCTTATTTTCAAGTGAATGTGCATGGATTGAACTTAAAACTTAAGACCTGTCACTTTCTGAAAATGCTACCCCTTCTTGTATACTTGTAGCAATGCTGGTGGAACTTTTTTTCCACCTGTGCAACTTGCAGTCATTTGAAGGTTGTGCAAGCCGAAGTGATGGTGCCTGAGGAGATTTGGAGGGACAAATGGAAACAGCCACACAACTGTGACGCATCCGTCGTGATCGATATTCCTAGAAACATTGTGATTCTTGGCTTCACCCCATTTTTAAACAATGCATGAAAAGGTCGGATGTATAATGATGCTTTGGTTGAGAGGCAAACTTTTACATGTTTCAGAGTTGAGTTAAATGCTCCCTTACTAATATTTTGACATAATGCGCCCTAAAATGAAGAGTTGCTTGTAACACGTGACATTCGGCTGTTTGTGTGGAGCAGATCTGCACCTTACTCATTAATCAAGGCCCACAAGTCATGCAAGTCCTACTCTGGCCACTGTCCTTGGCAGAGAGCAAAGCCGGGTCCAAGGCATGATCCTGTGCATATTTAGAAATTAAAATCTCCCACAACTCCCAACATTCAATGCTGGGAGCTGTAGGACTTTTTCTGTCAAAACATGTAGAGCATTGCAACCTTAATGAGTTTTTGCAAAGAAGCATTTGTCTCGGTGAATTGCAAAGCTGGGCAGGCCTAGGCTAGAATAAGAGGACTTTCTTTTTGCAATATGGCATTCTGTTGATGCTGCACCGTCATTCTGAAATGTGGACTCTACTGTGGAATGCTGAAGCGAACTACTTGGGTCCTACAGACAAGGGAAACAGGACTTGATCTGTGTTTTTCTTTTCCTTAGATAACTATGATGTACTATGTGCAGAAAAATTGCACTCATTTGTTTCTAACTTCGACTTGGCGCTTTTGCCCTGATAGGTAGACCTGTGGGCAGAAACAGAGGAAGGCTCAACCGTGGCATAGTGGAGGAATGCTGCTTCCGGAGCTGTGATCTTAATCTCCTGGAAACTTACTGTGCAAAATCTGTCAAATCTGAACGGGACGTCTCATCAACTTCTCTTGTGGTCTTACCAGCCATCAACAAGGTAGGCAAAGGCTCTCTGTCAGGTACAGGGTTTGTTTTTACGAGACGGAGAAATAGCCCATGGGACAGCAGGGCCATTATCTCCAGCATCTCCTGCTTTTGCAGGTACAGCAGAACAGCGTTATCTCTACATGCAATATATGTAACATCTTACTCTCAAACAACTAATAAAAACTCTCTAGAAGTTAGGGGGAAGGGAGAAAAGAAGAACGATTAGTCATATGTTTGTTAAAGAGTTGACCTTGCTATTTGGCCTGAATATTCATTTCATGCCATGTATCATATTTCTCCGATAAGCAGCATCCAAAGCTCTCTGGCTGGTTTGCAAAGCTTAAAAATGCATTCTTCATAGTATTGCAAGAGAGCACACACACAGACACAGGTATCTAAATAATTTTCAGCCATAACAAGAAGAAAAATCCCATCCGTTTTTACTTGGAGGTATGTCTCGCTCAGTTGAATAACACAATGTGTGTATCATTGTGGTTATCCTGTGAATACATACCTGAGAGGAAGCACCACTGAAAGTGCATGCCTAGGAGTGTGCTGCTTGTGTAACATTTGTAAGTTATTCAAGACTTTCTTTCCCATGATGTTTCAGTATCAGTTGTGCCTCTCCACCAGGCCAGCCAGCCAGCCAGCCATGTCCTCTTCCATTTGGGATATTCCATTCCATTCCTCCTCTCCCAGCCCCGCATCCCATGTACATGGAATTAGTCCATCACTGTTCCATGGCAACTGAGCATGCATATCCTTCCCTGGGCTGTTTTGGGGCTTTGGGTTATTTATATGCTCTCTTGCCCTTTAACTCGCAGAGGGCTGTAGTGTAGGGCAAAGTGGCATACTAGATGGGGTAGGTTTGCCTGCCTACCCTGGCTCTCCCTCACTTACGTATTCATCAAATGTATGTACTGCTGCAGTGAGAGATGCCCTTGGGAAGGTTTACAAACGTAAACCATCATGTGGGACACGGAGACTGCTGGAGCAGGGTGTTTGAGAAACAGATTTGGTGGAGCGTATTGGAGAGTGGATAGGATTTCTTTATTTAGGCTCGCTGGTGGTTTCATGGGAAAGGGTGGTCCCTTCCTAACTCATTTTAGCTGCTTTCGGCACAACTCAAGCTGAGTTCTAGGCATGACAGTGTGGTCAGAGAGTTGGCCAGGAAAAGTCATACACTAATTTCTCAAAGGGGGTTTTAGGTACTCACAAAATGCATCACATAAAGGAATATCAGGCAGTTAAAATTTATATTCCACAAGGTAGTTGGTTGATTTAATCGTTTGGTATTGTAGCCAAAAGCTAGTCAAATTCATATTGGTGAATTTAAACTATAAATAACCTGATTTTATTATTTGGCCTAGTGATCCTTATTCAGTTTCTCGCCTCCACTTTCCGCTCTTCAGGATACCTTTCAAAAGCCCTCTCATGCCAAGTACTCAAAATATGACATATGGCAGAAGAAGAGCTCACAGCGCCTTCAGAGAGGGGCCCCCAACATCCTCCGTGCTCGTAGGTATCGATGGCAAACTGAAGGACTGCAGGAGTCCGAGGAATCCAAGATCCATCGCCCTTTGGTGGTCCTGCCCACGCAGAAGCCCCTTCTTCTGCAAACCACCTCGGAAACATCGGGCAGCCAGAAGTGAACTGCGATGAACCATTGGCAAACTGGATTTTTCCTTATTTTTTTGTTCTTCCCGGTCATGTGGGAAATACTTCCCTGGCCTGCCCCTACCCTTTCTCTCCCTCAGACCAAGGTAGAGGGAGGGAGGGAGGGTGTGTGCCCTTTTACACCCAGGAGCAACAAATAAGGGGGCACCGTAACACCAAACAACTGACATAGAAAGAGCGGGATTACAACATCGGCGGTGGCAGCAGCTTTTCTGTGGCATTGTCTTTAAGTTTTTCAAAAAATCTATTTGTTGGTATTGTTCCTTTCCTACCCAGTATTTTCAGCCTTTTCTTAAAAGGGACAGTCAAGGCACTTGAACTATTTAATATTGGGCCACTGCCTTTACCAACCAACGAAGACAGAGCGAGAGAAGATAATGACACTGAAAGAAGCCCAGTTTGTGTCTGTATTGACAATAAAAGTGAAAGTGGGGGTTGACATCTGAGGGCCTCACATTTTGGCCTCGCTTCCACCCCGTTATTCCTGTTTAAGAAGTCACAGCTAGTCTATAGTATGTGTTTGAGGGTTTCGTGTTTTGTTTTGTTTTGCACGTTTTAAAAGCCAGAGAAGAAATGAGGCCCACTACCTTTTCCAGATGTACTTGCACCTTTTTAAAATCACCGATGAAGAGTGTGTATGAGTGTGTGTGAGTGTGTGTGCTTGTGTGTGTGCATTTGAGGGGGAGAGAGAGTGAGAGAGAGTGAGAGTGAATGTAGGTTCACTTTAATGGAGGAGGCGTCTGCATTGCACATTTGCCACAGATTTAGTTGAATTATATAAATATATATTATATATAACTTTTTTTTGGCAGAAAAGCACTATTTTTAATGGGACCATTTTGTGGGCGTGCATGTGTGTGTGCGTGCGCGCGCGTGTGTGTAGTAACTGAAGAGGGATTGTAATGTTTAAATATTGTTATGGTGCTAATGTAGGTTGGAAGGGGCAAAACAAATCCAGAAAATGAAAGGAGGGTGGGATGGGAAGGAAAAGATCTCGAATACTGAACTTGAAATTTTTAGCTTTTCGTTTTAGGAAAGTGTGATAAGTGTGTGTGTGTTTTTCTCTTCTGAAATATAGCTTGGTCATGACCATATGAGCTAATTGCCTTTCACTCATATACATAAAATAGACACATATACCGCAGCACAAAATCATCTATATACATTTAGATCAGAATAATTTTTCATTCTTAAGTCCTTCACTCACTCTCTGATATCCAGGACCTGCAGCATCCCACTGCAAAGGCCGAGGCAAACACGTCTGCCTGGTGGCTCTTCCACTCAGTTCATGGGCCTGGTCGCTTACCCAGAGCACCCACTGACTTTGGCAGCACGAGAGTCCCAGGGTTCTCTCACGTTTGCCATGTTCCTGCCTCCCTCTGCCACCTTCTGCCCGATGGCGTGCCACACGTCAGTCACTGACTATTTACATCTTTCAGGTCTGGCGAGAACAGAAGCGGTTGCCCAACTGAGCCTCTCTTGGAGGGACAGCTCAAATGACCATCTCCTTATTGTGCGGCTTCATTTGCTTCCTTCCTCCTTGCCGAAAGAGAAAGGTGCAGCTCTTCCGGGGCTCTCTTGGGCATCCCTTCATGGCAGCAATAATGGATAACCACTGTAAAATTTCCTACTTTCTCCCTGCTCCCAGAGAGAGAGAGAAAGCTGCAAAGGGAAAGGAGTAGAGTAAGACAATAAATAGGAGATTGGGCCCTCTTCACTGCCCCATAATTCTTCAAGTGCAAGGGAGGCTTAGCTTTTGAATACTCCCATACTTTAGGGTGCAAAACCAGAATCTGAGTTGGGGTGAGAAAGTTAACACAATTAATTTTGCTGGTTGCCCAGGGCTTGGATTTTGGAGAGCTATGTAGAAAGTCATACAATAATAATGTTACATAATCGTCTGTCTAATCTATCAACCATTCCAACAGGGGAAACTCAGTACCCCTATCATATATACTCAGTTGCTTAGAAAAAGGGGAACATCTAATAAGTTCTGTACCTGCTTTGCCTTATATATATATGTACATTTAAAGAACATAAAAGATTACTTGAATTGTATTCCTTTTTTAAAAAAGAAAGTGTAGGGAGTGGGTTTTATTTTTTAATGCATTACCAATTATTAAATGGTTACCTTGCAATCTTGAGCCATGAAACCTTTGGGGTTTTGTTTTGTCTTTGTGTTGTTTTCCATGGCACTGTGAAATAGAACAGTAAACCCCTTAACTTGTTATAAAGGAGGGAAAAATGAATAGCCCATTTAAAAAGTTTGGGGGCAGAAAAAAGGGGGGTGTTAAAATTATTTTTGCCAAACAAAAGCTTTGTTAGAAGCCCTTTACTAAAAGGCCTCACTTCTTAAAAAGCAACAAACAAAATATTCACCCAAAAGGAACAAGCCTTCTTTATAGCTGCCTACATAAGTTATGCCAGAGGAGGGAACAGAGAGGATCACTTCCTTTTCAAGGCATAGGAGTGAGGAAAAGCAGAGAGAATTTATGTATAGTCTAGGCTCAGTTTGTAATATTCTCAACAAAGCTGGCCCTGCTGTTGAAAATCAGTTAAGTATGTGCTTGCTTTAATCTTATGGAATATTGCTCTCAAGTCAATGGAATGTCCATAAAATTAAATATACCCTTAAGTAGAGGTGAAGTGTTTTCATAATGCTTTACCAATACTTTTCAGGGGGGATTGGAAATGTAGATTCAAAGCCAACTTAACAAAAACGTTAGACCCAAATTCCAACATAATAAATCCAGACAAAGCTCCTGAATGTGATCAAGACCTGAGTGTTAGGTAGTAGCTTGACTGGCTGGTTTTCCTTTCCAAGCTGACAGTGCACTCTTTAAAGCTTGATCCTATACATGCGTACTTAGGCATAAAGCCCCATTAAACTGAGTAAACATACATAGGATTCATGTTTACCACTTTATGCAAAACTAATGGTGCAGCCAGAAGAGATGTGTTCTAGTTCTGGGATATTGCCTTACACTAGAGGGATCATTCCTTGTCCAGGTCACCAGGGTGCCTTGGATATACTAAGCTGAGATAGTTGAAACTGACCCAAGAGGCCTGCAAAATCTATACAAAGGCACGTCATGTTTGAGTGGGTGGTATTAGGTTATGGGTGTCTTCAAGCCTTCCACTGCAGTGAGCAAAAGCATAACTGAGTCGCTGAGGTTGCTTCTTCCACAAAACAGCCATGGAAATCAGCCTCTCCCGAAAAGCAACATCTTGCATGAAATGACAAGGGAAAAGAAGGCTGGCTAACTTTACAGTAGAAAACGGAACGTAACCCACTAGCGGTTAGGTGTAAAATATCATTAAGGTGCACAATTGATTCTTGGGGCATTTTTAGTTTTACAAACTAGCATTTTAAAAAAATTGGTAGATTGTTTTGGCAAGGTGGGATAAACCCACTCGATCAGTGGGATAAACCCACTCGAACACACACTGATCAGCTTTCTTCTACCCACCTGATGCAAAGCGATTGCACTTGCAGGGAGAAGCATAGTTCCCCCGCCGGTTCCACTGACTCCCCATCCCGTAACAAACTTCATCCATTGCATCCTGCCTGGTTGCAAGGCTCAGTCTTTTGGTGATGGACCTAGCTGCCTCTGCACTAAATGAAGGGAAGAATTGTACTTGTTGTTAAAAAGTGCTGTGCGTGTGTGCGAGTGTGTGTTGGGCGGATTTTTTTTTATGTATATTGTCTGCTCAAGTTTTATATGGTGGGGAGGGAATGGGGAAGGGGGGCTGGAAATGAGTATTGATGTATCTTGAAATATTTCACTTGTGTGCACTCAATATGCAAGAGTCAAACTGCCCGGATTCTGCACCTATTGTACTTTCCATTCGTAATACAGTATCAATAAAACAATCAGTTATAATGTTTTTCTGCTATGGTTGACTGTCTCTAAAAACTGGATTTTCTTTGATACAGTTGGTCATGTTTATTTCTCTCCCTCCTTCTAAAGAGTGTATGGCTATCTTGGGGTCACCTGACTGGCCTGGCCTGACCAGTTCCTGTGCGATTTTTACAGAGGTTTTGCTATATTAAAGGGAGCAGAACATGTGAAAAAGCAGCTATAGGAGTAGGCACAAAAGTGGACGTCCCTACACCAGGGTGGACAGCATGTTATGTTGGCCTAACCCCAGTCAGCTCTACCAGTGGGTATATCAGTAAGGGTGATGGAAGCTGTAGGCCAGAACAATAGGAGGGCTACAAGTGGGCCAGCACTGCCCTAGGTGGAGTGCTTGGTTGTTACAACAGCTCTTGTGGTGTGTTGCCTATGGAGTGCCGAGTTATCCAAGAGTCCCTGGCGATCAGGATGGGTGGCACCACAGGTATGAAAGGGCTCCCGGCAGTGTGCATTCAAGGTGACCCTAAATAGACGGCTGGCTTAGGCAGAAGAGAGATGCCGAAACTATATTCTGTTCCTGCAAAGCAAGTTTTCTGGCTGCAATCTTAAATATACTTAATAAGGATTGTTGCATAAGAGTGCATTGTAAAGGATGGATTTAAAAAAAACAAAACTATTGTATTTCATTGCCGCCCTTCTGGAGCCAACCAAGGAAGCTTACAAAGATACTTTTCAAAACCTTTAATCAACCCTCATGTGATACCCATGGGAAATTTACTTTATGATATCAATAGTTCCTATTATTTCCCTTTTCCCTTTCTTTACCACCATTAAGCATGCCTTGAGTCTCACTGATAATACTACGGTGTAGCTGGTGGGGCATGAGACTGTTGTGGGGCACTGCGAGAGAGACAACCTCTTCCTAGGCCTTGTTCAGAAACAAAAGTTGCTGAAGAATCATGCAGAATCTCAGTGTCTGGTCGGCCCTTGCAAATCTTCATAGAAGATGCTTGTAGAGCCATATAATGACCAAGTTCGGTGCAGTTTGATGTAGACAGACTTGATGACCGATGACGCTGGTGCCATGGCTTTGAGGGCCTTGAGCAGAAGACACCCAGTGGGCCTTCTCCTACAGCAAACCTTCCTTTTCACGACCATGGCCACTACCTGCTCTTGCTCCTCATCCTCTTTCTCATCCCAGCTGCCACTGGTTCACATGAAGGCAGAGGCTGAGCATGTGGGCAGCATCCTCCTCCTCCTCACCAGCAGAATGAGAGGCAGGCGAATATGCAGGATGCAGTGGTGAAAAGTTGGTGCAGCTGTACAGGGTTCTCCCATCAGTGGGTGCACTGCATCCTACCCATGCCTGCCCTTGCGACCAGTCCTGGTGGTGAAAGCAAAGTGCACCAAGTGAAGTGCTGCTGTTGGGCCTTGTGTGTGCGTGTGATCCTGATCAACTTTAAAGACTCCTTTAAGACCACAACTCCTTTAAGACCACAACTTTAAGACCACAACTCTAAACAAAAGTTGACAAAGGGGGACCTATGAAACGTGGAGGAACTCAGTATAAAGCGTGGGCTAATTTTCTTTAGGACTCAATCCTGTGAATGTTGAAGCAGAGGAAATATTCCTGTGACTCTGTGTGTTCCCCAGCAGGCCACGTGGGGTGGGAATTGCTGGGAGTTACAGGACATGTTTTTGTGTCCAGATGGATGGGATTGCACCCTCAGTCTGGGAAATGCGATACACAAAGCCTTTACGGGAGTGATTTGCCAGGAAGCCACAACCATCCGTTATTTCTCTAAAAAGGAGAGCACTGAAGCCAGTCTCCAGAGGACTTTGCAGTCGTTCTTGGATGCCATGCTTCTCAGTGTGGTGGTACAGGCACAAGACATTTGCTTAGGGATAGGGGAAACATACTGGCCTTTTTCTTATTCACATATTTCAAGACACAGACTGCATTAACTTCAGACCAAACCACAGTGAGTCCCATGGAACCTACTTCTACATGAGGCAAGCAGAGGGTTGCAACAGAGACCTTGCTAGAGAAAACAGACCCTGGAGCTTTCCCTGGCAAAGCTGATATTCTGACGACACTTTTTTGCACTACTTACACAGAGCTAGATAACTTAAACTGCTTTGTATCACTTCCTGTAATTCATGTGTGAATCATGTGTAGACGTCCACCTATCTACCAGAAGTATCTTTCAGTGGGAGATATAGGACATGATGTACAGTTTGGAGATACTGTCTTGTTTTGGTTTGGTTTTTTGAAGGATGCCCCACTGAGTTGTCCCACAGGGCATATGTCCTACTTTAGAGAAGACACTCCTCCAAAGGACCATCACAGTTATCCTACAGTTGGTTCAAAGCTGGTTTATTGATAAAGAATCACAGCGAGGGAGAGCAGATACTTTGAAGTCACCCATCAATCGCATGAGTACCTGGATAGCAGACTGAGCGGGTCCACAAGTTACCTATTCAAAGTTATCCCCCTTTGGCAAAATGCACTTTATTTCTGTTTATAGTAAAGTAATCATTTCCAGATTTACATCAATACATATTAAGAAACATACAAAATGTTTACTCTGCGGCTTTTTATTTTATTCTTTTGGACTAGGGGCAGAGATTAAGCAGTTGTACTTTTCTCGGCATGCGTGCCTGGGACTAAAACTAACTGAACTCAGAAAGGTTTACTTTTGGGTAAAGAAGCATATGCTTGAGCTATTAAACTCTGGGAAGAATTTCACTTCGGCTGGATTATCTCCATGTAGGGTTTTGTGTGCGTGTGTGTACGTGCGTGTTGCATTAAAAAGAAAATGTCATTTATTTTTTACAGAACAAGTTTGCCAAGAAAACCAGCAACATTCTAATCAGCTTTTACAAAAATTATCTTCTGGGATGGAGTTCCAGTGAAACAACTCAAATATACACTGAGCACCTGCTTTTCCTAAACTTGATAGTAGGGTTTAACAGTTTCTTAGGAGCTGCAAGTGGAGTTCACCACCCCGATCCATGATCCAAGAACTACCACCCCCTATTTCACATTCACATGATCAGAGCTTTTAGTGAGTAACTGAATTACTGTTATATTTACGATTTCTATAGAGATGAGCAGATGTCCTCATTCTATTCTGTTATTGTTCAGTGGGTTGGCTCTGCCTCACATGCTGCTCCGTCTGTCTGCTAGTTTAATTTGGAGAATTTCAGAATTGGTGCATGCTCAGGTTGTTGTAGTTTGCATCTCTCCACCCCTCCCCGTGTTTTACAAGGTCTCCAGGAAAAGGGGTGTATGTGTGTGCATAGGTTAAAATACCACACAAAAAGGGGGTGTGGGTTTACGCTGACCATAGCCCCACAATTAGAAAATGGCAGCTTGCTAAGTTGATGCTGTTCCACAGGCAAAATTAGGTAACTGCACATTCCAGCATCCAGATGAGACGAACCTTATAATCACCCCTATTTTTTTATTCCCAGGGAATTCATTACAATGATATAGAAAGTAATGGAGGCATTAATAGCTGATATTGACATATTGCATTGAGCTAGAAATTCCCAGAGGAACATGCTTATTGTTTTTTATGTACTGCATCATTTTACCACCCTGCACCTCTTTTTCAACTTGGGCTGTTTTGTTTTTAAGGATAAATAATTGATTTCTAAAAGGAGCCAAGAATGTGGGACTCAACCTGTCGCAAAGACCTTGTTTTTGCCAGTGCATGTACTTGTCACTCTTGTAACAACATCAAGGTGTCAGCTGGGCCCGATTTATTATTTACCCATCATAAGAGGAGATAAAACAAATTTCAGAGATCTGTTTACAAGTCAGACTATCTACCGTTATATAATTAAACAATCCTCTCTGCCAACAATTTGTTGTTTGGGGCGTGGGAGGGGAAGGGGGAAAGACAATTAGATCATTTCTCAAGGCTGCAGAGTTGCACAATAAAAGCTTTGTGCCACAATGCCATAAGCCCCCCATTCTGGCACTTAATGGCATCTGTAGACAAGCCTTTTTAAATTCCAGGAGAAGGAATGTGGCAGGAGCAGCAGCAGGGGAAAGGGAAGTCCAGTTCCACTAAGTGGGGTGCCAATGAGGGGTAAGGAATAAATGAAGATAGTATTACAGGAAAAGAAGTGTCCTCAGAAAGGACTGTGCTTTCACTCAGGCCCTTCCAAAGCTGAGAGATCATTGGTGTGCTAACTGAAATTAATGATCACAGATGCACACACCGGTAAGCTGGTTGCCTTTGCAAGGCCCTTGACATCAGTAGTACATGCAATTTCAGAGGTGGATCCGTCTTGGAGAATGCACAGATTCCTGTATTGTGATCACATGAAAATGGCAGGCTTCTTCATTGATTGTTTCAGGGTGATTTTTTTTAAAAAGGGGGAATTTGTCCTACCCATCAGCTGGAAAGGATCCTAAAGAGAAAGTAGCTTATGTAAGGTCAGAAGCAAAGAAAAAGTTTGAGCAGCATATCAAGCCTTCTGCATGTTTTTGTCAGCTCGACCATAGTTGAGCTCAATGGCTAACCTTAGTTGGTGGGGATGTTAAGTGAACTTCCATGGGATTGGCACATTCGTCTGCTACAGCAAAAGCAATAAGGGGATCGTTCAGCAACTTGAAGGCTAACAAATGCGTCATGGGTTAAGTTTTCATAGACTAAAATACATGCCTTCCATTGCATGAAGGGTTACCCTTTCTTGGAGGGTATGTGTTTATAGAGCAGGCATGGGGAAGCAAAAATGCTGATGAATTGAGATATATACTGTAATAAACATATACATGCATAAAACACATATACCAACTTTATCATCTCAATAATTAAAGAACAAACATATAAATATGTATTAAATGCATAAAACAAAAACATACCCAAAGCATTTCAACCACGTGATCCTTTTCCATGGTCAGATATTATGAAACTATCATTTCTGGTATGGAGCTGTTAACACACCAATGAACAGCTAAGCTTCTCAGGCTAAAAGAGGCTTCAAAGGATGGGTGAAGGATAACAGTATCAACAC